AGAAAGTAAAGTACAGGCTTGGTTCTTGTTGACAAGGCTGGTTTGGAGTTTGGCAAGTATTTGCCCAACATCTCTGCACATCCCAACAAGCAGTTTATCAGGACACTCTGCTTCAATCAGTAACTCTCGCAAGCTTCATCATACCCATTGCTGATTCATGGAAACCTTGACTCCTGGGGCAGGTCACTACTACCCAGAGGTGAACGTGGTACAGGCAAAGTGTATACATGGGGGCGGACATCTCCTATGTCCAATGGCAAATACTCCCAGGATGACCCCTGCGAGCCCGATAAATAGCCTATTGATATGTGTACGACCAGGTGATAGTGGGCTTGAGAGAGGAAGGACTGTCTGCTGAACCCCAGTGGATTTCAGGAAGGTCCAGCATCTGATTTCAGAGGGGTCTGTACCCCGACACAACCACCATTCGTACCCACAGGATCCCCTGTGGGGTCCACCCAGGAGGCTGTGCCTGGACTCAGCCCCCTGCCCAGGCTGTGCATAGTCCACCATGGATGGCAGTGGTTTGCCTTCTTCCCCACACACAGGTGGTTCAGCATTCAACTACTAACCGACAGGTCAGCAGTTCAAACCCCAGCCGTTCCAGGGACGGAAACCGTTTGTCCATGCACGCTTCCTGGGTAAATAGATACAAGCCTCACCTACTCTCTGGGGTGGGTGAAAGTACAAGTCACGTTATGGCCTAATTGCCCATTAGGTCTGTGGAGTTAGGACAGGGAATACTTTATCCCAGCCTGTCATCTGATAGTAGGTGGGACTGTTTGGAAGGGCTTGCACTTTCTGCCACGAAAAGAGAGTGCCCCGTGTCTCAGCCAGCATGTGTGCACACATGGAGACACTGTGTTGGGGCGTTAGACTCGGGCAGCCCAACGGCATTCACCCCTTTCCTATCCTGTCACCCTCTCTCATCCTCTGGGACAGGCAGGGAGAGACCAGCATCCACACTTGTTGCCGTGGAGCTGGGGGGGCCTCTCTGGCCAGGAGCCAAACCGGGGTGGACACATGGAGAGGAAGAGGACACCCGAGAGGACAGCCAGGGACAGCCGGTGGGAAGGCTGAGGGGGACTGAGAGACCGTCTCTGCTGGGCCCTGCCGCCGGAGGAGCAGCTGTCAGCACACAGGTAGTCCCTGGCCGCCAAGCTGCCCCATTCCCACGACTCTGTTGTCAGTCCGCTCTGATGTTAAGTTGAATACCCACCACCGCCCTTTTTTCTTTTTCATTATCATTGAGTTTTAGTATCTGTATCTTGACTAGTCCAATCTTCATTTGTTGTTGAGGTTGAAACATGACGTCTGAACATACACATATGTAATGACCCTAGAGGATAGTATAGAACCGCCCCTGTAAGTTTCCAAGACTGCAACTCTTTCCGGGACTAGAAAGCTCCAACTCTCCCGAGGGGCAGCCGGTGGTTTCAAACTGCTGACATTGCGATCACAGTCTGATGTGTAGCCATATTTGAATGGAATATAGGTAGATATTTAAAAAACACACAAATAATTTTAAAAATTACCCAGAAGGGGAGGAAGAGTTCGACGAACACTGGCATTTTGTTTGCATGCGGTGAGAGCTCCACCTCTGGAAGGCTCTGGGCCAGCGGGCCTGTCCGCGGAGACAGGGGTGGCGTGTATCTTCAGAAACCTCCGGAGGGCTGCCTGCAGTGTTTCTCTCCTCTCCTCAAACATTTCGCGGCCACATCGCACTGCTCCCGGATCCGTCAGCACTGGGGCTGTGAAGTCCTTGGTTTCGCTTAGAAAGAACTTCAGCGAACGCCTGCACTTCTCTCAGAGGGTTTCTCCGACTTGCATTGGGTGATCCGGCTCGTCAGCGGGGTTTTCAGCAGCTTCGTCATCGGCTCTTCCTGCGTCTCCAGTTACACGCGTGTGATAGAAGCCGCATCTGTGCGCGAGGCGATGCGACCGGCCCTTGTGGGCACCGCAGTGCACACAGTAGTCTTCTCCCTGCTCTTGCACTGGTTGAAATGGTGGTTGAAATGGTCAAGCGAGAAGGATCTGCCTCCCATGCTACCGCTCAGGTTTTCTTTCCGTTCCCATCCCGTAAGGTCTTCAGCTTTCTGTCCGTGTCTAGAGCCTTCCTCCAACAGCCTTGGGTGGTGTAGGGGTGAATCCTTAGGTTGCCGACCTCCAGGTTGGGCACTCGGAGGGAGGAAGATGAGACTGCTCGCTCCCGGGAAGTCCCTCCCCCCCCACCAGCCGCGTTGGAAACCCTCGGGAGCAGTTTGAGTCGGCCTCGCCTCTCTTTTTGGATCTTTCAATCACGTGACTCCTTTTTGCTGGAGACATGGCTGGAGGTCCTAGCAGGGCAGGTGTGAGTTACAGAAAGGACACCTGATGTCCCCTAGGGTCTGCAACGCTGAAGCTGGGGTCAGCTTAGTAACAGTGAGGTCGCAGCTGTGAAGACAGTCGGGCTCCTGCAAAGTCCACTTGTGGTCTGGCCTTAGAGTGATCGTCTTATGGCCTTTTCTTTTCTTTTCTTTTTGGTCTTATGTCTTCAGAGTTGAGCATTGACCAGCTTTCTCACTGTTAAGACTGCTGACACCAATGTAGTGTAGACCAAGCCATAGTCTGCTATACAGCAGTCTTGTGAACATCTGAGAACGATATCAGCCAATTAGATGCTGCAACATTGAATGTAGTATATGTGACTAACAATAAGACAGTCCACCCCCTCCATCCTCCTCACCAACAGCCCCTCAGTCAGGTTCACTGTAACTCAAGTACAAAGTCAGGAACTACCTGTCAGGCAGTGGAGGCCAAACAGGAGAGAGCAGGCCCTGGGGTCCCCGGACTTTGAGAGCATTCCTTCAGAAATATTGGATACGAGGCCTGAAGCAACTGAACCAAAGGCCTAACCAAAACCGCATGGCCATCGATGCCATGCTGACTCAAGGAGACCCTATAGGACAGTATAGAACTGCCCCTGTGAGTTTCTGAGACTGTCACTCTTGCTGGGAGCAGAGAGCCCCATCTTTCTCCCAGGGAGCGGCTGTGATTTCAAACTGCTGACCTTGCTGTTAGCAGCCAGACTTGTAACCCCTCTGCCACCAGGGGTTCTGCGCAAAGGGTCAGCTGAATGGAATTTCTTAGAGGCTAGCCCTGAGGTGACTGTAGCCACCTGACAGTTTGGACAGTGCTCAGTTTTCCCTGGGCACTTACACTTAGTTTCCTCTTACAAATGCTAATGCAGATTATATGCAGGTGGGCTATCATGCCAGCAACCCAGACAGGCTGAATTACGGCAAACCAGATGCCGGGGCAATAGAGATGTTACAGGAAGATTCTACAGGTTTCTGCCTTGCCAACTTTTTCATTTCAACCACCTGTCAAAGCTGGGAAGATGCGGGCAGACAATGAGAGCCCTAGCAGGACTTCAAGTACTGAACAACAACCTCCCAGCTCTGACCGAGTTCATGGAAGCAGGGAAGGGGCTGATTCAAATAAACAAGGCCTGTTATGTGTATGTAAAGTGGACTCAAACGCCTCTCCCAAGCTCCCCTTTGAGACTCTAGGCCTCTGCCATTGGAACTCAACACTCCAAGAGCACACGCTCTGTTCTCAGTTGTCGTTGTATCTAACCCAGAACACCAAATAGACTGTTAAGTAGGGGTCATTGTAGCTCAAATAGCTTGTGAGATAGTTAAGGTTTATTGTGCCAACCTGGCCGATAAACACATGTGGGATTAATTGAAGGGTGGAGAGGTAAATGGCTTGGTGAGCCTTACCTCTCTAGTTCTTGGGTCTCTTGCTTTCTGATGGTTGGACCAGGGTGCAGTGCCTTAGCCAGTTCCCAGCTTCAGCTAGCAAGGCTCATTTCCTGCAAGACATCCCTGAGGAGAAGCCACATGGACCTACCCTAATGCAGCCCTGGGTGCTGGAGCAGCGACATGGAGACCCCTGCCAGCACTGAGATGCTTACACACTCACTGATTCGGATTTCCTCCTGCAGTTGGTGTCATTGCGTGTGTTTTGTGAGATGGTGGAGGACTTTGTGGATTGGTGTCAGATATATGGGCTAATGTTGGACTTATGGGCTCCGACAGCACTGGGTTGGGATGCTTTCTTAATGTACACTTACCCTTTATATGAAACTCTCTCTTATACATATGAGTTTCTGTGGATTTGTTTCCCTAGTTTACCCAGACTAACATACGTTGTAAGTCAGGAGCTACATGTAGAGGCAGTGTTTTCCCTTGTAAGTCACTTACAAGGGTAAGTCACTACCCGTGGAGGTCAGACAAGGAGACAGCAAGCCCTGTGGTCCCTGGACCTCGAGGGGCTCGGGCTCCGGATGCGACCCCGTCAGCTGTGTCAGGGCTTTACCTGGCCAGGGCTAAGGTAAGTCGGTGAGGATACACCCAGCTGTTGGATCCTGTGCCCAATTTCTGCTACCCACCTTGTAAGCATAGCCCAGCTGATGACTTGCTTAGCCTCCACAAGGTGCTGTGTGCCATGCTGAGCATTTGATCTCCATCAACTTATGGAGATTCACAATACTCTGGCCTCCTTTCAAAGATAAGGAAAAGGTGGAACCGGGATTCGGAATCAAGTCTGTTTGACGCCAAGTTTCATATACTTGTGCACATACACACAAGCATACATAGATACCCATGTGCATGTAGCCTATTGGATTGGACAGCCCTTCCTTCAGAAAACCAGAAGATCTTGGTCTAGTTCCACATAGCTACTCGGAAGCAGTTTCCAGCACAGCAGCTGACGAAGACTTAGGGAAGGCCGGCCAGAAACCACTGGTACCTTATCACCTGTCCAGAATTGGCCCCATTCTGACTAGGCATGTTGGCCAGGGATCTTTGTGCTGATGCCAGAGTCCTAGTATGAGCTGCCAAGGATGTCAGAGGCTTTACAAGGATCAGTGGGTCACCTGAGAGCCATCACTGGCAGAGACCGGGCGCAGTCTGTGGTCCCCTGGGTCACTTACTATCTTTTCTCTTTCTTTGCAGCCGATCTCCACGTGAAGTCCAGCACCATGACTCGGAGGCAGCAGCCACATTACGCCGGGCCTGTGCACTGCATGGCAGCCATCGTGCGGCAGGAAGGCCTGGCCGGCCTGTACCGCGGAGCCAGCGCCATGCTGCTGAGGGATGTCCCAGGATACTGCCTCTACTTCATCCCCTATGTCTTCCTGAACGAGTGGATCACACCGGAAGCCCGGGCAGGCCCCAGCCCCAGTGCCGTGTGGCTGGCAGGAGGCCTGGCAGGTAGGGGCGGGCGGCAGCAAGGGGCTCTTCGTCCTCTGACATCCACGGCAGTGGGATAGCTGGTGAGCCTGCCAGGCATCCCCTGTCCAACCACTTACCCAACATTCCTCTTGCTTGCTTGTTCTTAATCTTAACATTTTTAATTCGTTTTTAAAATTGTTTAATAATATCACCAACATGCAATTACCGTATCACACATTTCAATGGTTGCATCACATCGCCAGAGGTGTGCAGCCACCAGCCAGCATCTCTGTTGAGGGTCATGTAGGTCATGTATGTGTCAGACCTGTCATCAGTAAACTGCTAGAAGTGGAGAAGGGGCCCCTTCCTCGCTGGCCTCCTGCCCTTTGGAGCCATGGAGATGTCAAGTCTTTTTTTTTCCCATTAATTTGGAAAAATCTGGGGCAAAATGCCCCTTTGAAGCTTTTTTCTGAAAATGTACTTTGGGTTTTATTTAATCGTTTTATTAGAGGCTCATACAACTCTTATCACCATCCATACATACATCAATTGTGTAAAGTACACTAGTACATTCATTGCCCTCATTATTCTCAAAACATTTGCTCTCCACTTAAGCCCCTGGCATCAGGTCCTCGTTTTTCCCCTCCCTCCC